AGCTGAGCACATGGCTTCATGGAAACGTTTTAGCAGCCAGTGATCACTGTTGCAAGGTACAATCTGTTGACTATCTAAATCTGACTGTGGTTGGCCCTAGAAGACCCAGAACCAGAAATATGTGCCCAGTCTTATCAGCCTGTCCTACCTTCTTTCTAGAAGGAAGTCCTCAAGGGGTTAGAAGGCTTGTTGCACCAGGACATCAGTGCAAATGAAGTTTACAAAAGCATGTGTTCCAGCTCTTACTTTCTTCTCCTCTAAGAGGTGTATCATCTTGTTCAGCCAAGAGGGAAATTGCAGGTGTTCAATCCAACAGGCAGGAACTGATTGGCAACATTCCTTCACGTAAAATTTAACAACAGTCACCAGCCCTCAGGTTAAAGCCATGCTGAGAACTTGAACTCATTCCCATCCAGGTGCTGCTGCTGTTGCAAACACTGAGACCTGAATGCCACCTCCTGCTTCCTCATGCTCAGTTTCATGATTCATGTCAGAAGAGCCTTCCTTTTATTAAAAAAAAAAAAAAAAAGACCTCCTAAATTTTTCTTGAAATGCTGCACTGTTTTAAGTCAAAAGATCACAAAGAAAAGTAGCCTAAAAATGGTATAATCTCAAGAAACAGTTTTTTCACTTGGATATTATTTCTAAATGTTTGAGAATATTTATATTTATCATAAATATAACTTTTACTCACATGTTCCTTGAACTACATAATTACTGTTGCTGCTAAGGGTCTTCCCCACTGATAAATTGTCTGGCAGGTAGGTTGTCCTGAAATGATGTAATTTCACCTGGCTTAATTTACCCCAATTTGAGAATGATTATAACACTCCATCTGCAATATAGCAGATTAACAATCATTTGTAGTATCACAGCTTCCTTCCAAGTTGCTAACTTTAAGGATGCTAAAAAGCAGATATTCTTATGTCCCCATGTAATCTGAAGGGGTAGATGCACCAGGGCCCTGAGACATGTAACTTTACAGATAAAATGCAAGTACAATATTAAGTTAGCCACCTCTAACACATGCCATAGTCTCTAAAGTCAAAGCCAATACATACCAAATAGCCTAACAGTTTAGTTTAAAGCATGGAGAATCTAAAGGTTAAGGTTAGATTAGAATGTATATTGCAAATTTTTTCTTAACACATCAGAACCATCAAATTTCTTTCTGGTGTGAACCTACCTGTCCAATGGGAAAATAACTTCAGTTCCACTTGTGGCAATGCTTACAAGTTCAGGCCCTCCAGATTATAAATAAATAAATAAAACATAGCCCCATGTAGAGTACAGGAAATTAAATGGCAAGTCTCTGTTTTGTGGTGGGACAGCCGAATTCAGGGCGTTGTTAGTACTCTTACCCTGTCTGCTGGGCAGAGCCCAGGCTCTCCATCCCTTTGTGGGACCTGGGGGAAGCAGAGGAAGGAACAGCTATGGCTAAAGGGTAAAATCAGAGCTTTGCAAGCAGAAAAAAAGAAAAGGTGCATGGCATTTCTACCAACTTTTCTTTATTGAGTTGTTTGCTTGCTTTCCACAAGGTGCATTTCAATGACTTGAGTTTTACTGACAGTTACCCATAGGGGAGCCAAGTCCTCAGTCTTTTTCATGATTATTCAAGAAACCAACCATCAGCAGCAGCTTATATTCAGGCAAACATAAGTACATATTGTATTTGCACATATATATCAAATCCAGTTATTTACACACTGTACAAGTAGTGGATATGTTTAGTCATATTCTGATATCTCCATGATTCTGTAATCCATAGTCATCCAAAAGACCCATAGTTAGATTTAAATTTCTGAATGCCTTCTGGTCTTAAGAGACTTTAGAATGCAAATATGTATATTGTTGCACTGAAATTATTAGCTTAAATTAAAAATATAAGTTTACAATTTCCATGCTATACATTGAATAGATTAACAGTGTAAAAACTGATAATTCACACAGGCAAATGAACACACACACACACGTATTGATTAATATTCTTGTTTTAAGAATAAAATGAACAGTTCCAATAAAGAGTGTGATTACTGGAGTGTGCAGTAAATGCACATAACTCTCCTTTCCTGTAGGTAGGGGGTAGGAAATCTCATCAAAGAGTTCTAAGCAGGTGGGGTAAGGCTCTACCTCCTCTCTTGCCACAACAGTCTCCATTTTGCAAAAAAATGGGAAATATATTTCCTAATTCAGATAAATTAAAAGCATCATCTTAACCTCAAACGTTTATTATAAATTTGAAACAGCATTTATCAAAACAAAGAGCTCATTACAACATATATAGGTACTGGACCATCCAAACCCCTTCATTTGGTTTGTCTCCAGCATAACGATCTAATACAAATTATTCTGAATCACAACATATCTACATTAAAAAGAAGAAAAAAAAAACCCAAAAAACAAAAAAGACAACACTCTGTCTCCTGAACAGAAAATAGTTCCACACAGAAAAATCTATAGAGAAAAAAAAAAAACCAAACTGTTAAAGTATCAGTCCCAACTTCTGAATAAATAAACAATTTTTCCTGCAGCTGAATGTTTTCACTCAACTCAACAATCAGATCTCACATGCCTGCTTAAATATGTCTGACTTTGGTCCTTACAAAATGACAAGACTGGAGTATGATAAACCAGATGATCATTTATAGCAAGACAATGAGGCATTGTTTACACAGAAGATTGAGAAACTGGTTTAACAAAAGGGGTCCGTGGACATCTATTGTATGTACAAGAAGGAGATTTACTGGAGATTTTTATAATTTCTGCAAGACTCTTTCCAACCAGCTTCATTAACTTGAAGTAAATCAAATCATGCAGAGATCTGGCTCAGCCAGAGCAACATGCCGGGAAAGATACAAAATAAAGAAGAACAGACACAAGATGATAAGCTTTAGAATCTTTGGCATTTTTCATAAACAATTTCAAGGTTTTTAAATCTGTATATTCACCCATTTTCCCACACAGACTCATCTATAAATACTTTATATATGTACTCTTCTTTATACACAACTCTATATGCATGGGTACACAAGCACATGTGCACACAAAGAGGCATTTCTGTGACTTTTTTAAACCAGGATAATATTTTTTTTCTCTTTCCATTTGCAGCTACACACAGCTTTGCATGAGCAAAATACATTCTTTACCCAATCACGTCTATGAAGATGTGCCTCTCCTTATTCAAAGGCACAGTGAAGCCTGTAACTTTGAAAAAATAAACTTACTGAAAAATCACAGAATCTGGCTAATAATCCAGTGGAAGATACTCTGGCGTTACTTTCCCTTTTTCAAATTCATACAACAGGCCCACAAGATTGTAATACTGAACCACAAAGTGTGACTCCATTTGGATCACCAAACCAAAAGCAAGGTTTTACCTGTTTTACATTTAATTAGATTACTTCCAAAGGTTTGGGGTTTTTTTGGTGTTAAAAAGAAACCCGTCTCTCGGGATTCTCTATTTCTTTGTACTGTGAACCATCCCAGGGGACACTGGTGGTAGCTTCTTCCTGTGAACTAGAAGCCAACTCCAGCTCTCATGCTACCAATGATCCCGATGTCCCATAGCACCTAAAGGACCGAGGGCTACACTCTCACCAAAATTAAGCAGGTTTATGTATGATTTTGTGTTTCAGTTTCCCCAGTTAAGCAACACGAATAACGCTGGTTAGTTGAATCACATAAAGCAAAAGCACGATAGCTAAAAGACTGGTAAGCAAGCAAGAAATCACATTCTCCTCAGAACAGAAAATGAGGTCCTTTCTCCTGTCTCTTCATTGCTCAGTTTCTAAATGACTTCACTTTCTGATCCTCTCCTTGTGAACCACCAGGAAAGACTCAAACAAGACACCAGTGGTTGACCAAAGCCTGCACACTCTTGTACAACCATGTCTTTGGAAAACGTGTTCTCTTTCTGCACAAGCACTTGTTTTTCTTTAAGGCTATAAAGTGTTTTTTTCTCTTGGATCTGTAGTGTTGACCCCTCTGAATTTAGACAGGAAAACAACAGCTATGCTGAAAATATCTGATGAGATAGAATTATAAAAGGCAAGTCAACAGTGTCTTTTCAGGTCAGTGAGTTAGGCTTTTCTACAGTCTCTTAATCCTTTCACGGCAGAAGGTTCTCATGCATCCATTGCCAGCAATGGATCATCAATGATTCCAGTATCCAAAGAGTTAATCACAGAGTGGGCTTTAAAAACAGGAAAAAAAAAAAAAAACCAAAAAAACCAAACAAAAAAAAACACACAAGTGCTGGATGAAATATTGACATACTGTTGGAGCTCCTAACTCTTCCTGCTAATTATGATAAAAAACTTTTTAAAATGTACACTGCTTGAACAGAAGATGGGTATCAAAGACTCGTTAATTCAGAGCTTAAACCTTTCTAGGCACAGTGATTTAACTGAGAAAAGAATAGCTTTCATATCTTAATATAAATCTGTTGGATATGTTAAAAACTGGTTCAGAGCATCTCCTCACATCAGCTCAGCTGATCTACTACACTACGCAGAATTATCTCTTCCTACATAAAGTAGAGAGTGCTGCCACATCCAGCCTTGCCTCTGCAATAGAAGGGGGGGAAAAAAGAGGGGGAAAAAGTAAAAAAAAAAAAAAAAAAGGAAAAAGAAAAGAAGAGGAAAAGATGCAGTTGCACCATCCTCTCCCATTCTTCTCCACTAAAAAAAAAAAGGAAAAAGAAAAGAAGAGGAGAAAAAGATGCAGTTGCACCATCCTCTCTCATTCTTCTCCATGCTCCATAAACAAGTTCATATGTTCCATTTTGCTATTTTGTGGGTTACGACTCCATGCCGAAAAGATATCCCAAAAAAGACAACCCAAGATAGGTGTTTATCAAAAACCACATCTTCACAAAAAAAAAAAAAAAGTCTGTGGCAGTGATTATAGTGTTGTTCTGAAGCAGAAAGGGAGGAGGGTAGCATGTGTGTAGGCTTAGGAGGTACAGAGGGAGATGCTTCGTTCCAAAATCGCATTGCATCCTATAGCGCACTCCGCTTCTTCCTAATGGGACTGGAGCTGCTGTATGGTTTCAATTCAGCGTACTGCACCTGTAAAAACAAATAGACATGACGTTTGCAGTTAGGTAACTCTAGCTCACTACAGTGTGTGTTAATGGCTCCCCCAGGACAAACCAAGGGAAACTAAGGAAGGTTCAAAAGTAATGAATCATTTTCTAAACACAGGAACATGGGGGATTAATTGCAGGAAGGATTTGAGAAGTCATGCATCATTTCTTGAAACGAAAATATTAAAAGCAGATTTTTCTAATGAGATACATGGGGTTCTACCTGATTTCAGCAATGTAGGATAGATCTTTTGGGTCTGTTTTGGTTTGGGAGTTGTTTTTCTTATCTTTCTAGCATTAACCTGTAAGTTTAATAAACTCCTCTCAAGAGTTTCAATTCAAGTGGACCCCAATAGACAGTAAGATGACAGTTGTTAAAACCATACACAGACCTTGAGATGCTGACATATTTAATCATTTCAAAAAATGAAAATATTTTCCCAAATAGAACCTGGACAAAGCTGCCTCCACTTTTCAAAGCAATTTCATATACAATGTAATGGTTAAAACACGTGTGATAAACTGACAAGGATGGTATAATCTCCAAATTATCTGTTATGCTACAGAAAAGTATTCCCATTGAAATCATGGGAAACTTTCACTGAACGTGCCATCATTTTCACTCCTCCTCTGTCTTTCGTCCAACGTGTCAGTTGTAAATGCCTAATGTAGAGATATAGGTAATTTCTAACTCATTGCAATATCACAGCAAAATGATGATGCTTTGATAGCACTTAGAGCAGACAGAGAGGCTTTGGAGCTCCCATGGATGACTTTTCACTAGAGCTTGAGGGTCACTATTTTTAGCACTAGTGGAAAACTCTGAGAAGGTTTGTCCCGTCCTAGGAACTTTTATCATTCCTCCCATAGAAAATGGTTATCATTTTCCTTGGAGAGCTCAAAGGATCTCAAAATGATAGAAACCACTCAAGGAAATGTTATAAATGTAAACGTTAAATAAAGCATAAACAGAAAAGCAGCTTATCTTTAAACATAAACATTAAAAGGGCATATGCAAACCATCACTGCAAATCCAATGCGCTCTACAAGAGCAATGATAAAAAATAAAAATACACTGAAGCTTAATGTCTCTATGATCATTTCTGTTTAGCTTTTTTCCTCCTACCAGTCTATGGCAAGTTCTCTCTCAAGTTATTAGTGCTGCCACCAACCAATCTGCTGGCCTCTTGAGATAAATGTCACCAGAAGCCTTTTCCAACCTTGTTTCTACCAGATGCCTTGACACTGCATGTGGGCAATTATTTTTCTGTCTCCAACAGAGTGAAATCACTATAGGCAAGATCGTGATCTCCTTATTCACAGTGAGCAGCACCTCACTGTGAAACTACCACGATTCACAGAGGAAGGTACAGTATCAGTGGGATCCAGGGCATCAGGATCAGGGTCTGAGGACACAGATTCCAGTTGGTTAAAACAAAAGAAAGAAGCCTTTATATTGTGTGGCTTCATTACCCAGCAAGACTATTTTCCTCCCTCCAAGAAAAATAAACAGATCTTGACATTCTAAAGGACTTATTGTTCAAATAATTTCCAGGAAGATAGGCGAGATTTCTGAAGACAGTGGTGTCATTTAAAAGAAATAGGAGAAGAGACGAGACTTGACTGAAATTGAGGAAGGATACATTCTGGTTAGATTAAAAGTTATAATTCCATAATGCTAGAAGATTGATCTGATCAACCCCAGAGTATTTTATACACATCGCAAGGCTTTCTCTAAAGAAGAAGATGAGTGGAGCATTGTCCAAGAGAGGCCTGAAGCTCAAGGTGGGTGGGGAGGAAGAATTTTGAGGGACAGCTGATGTGAAAAACCACAGCAAGCACAAAGTCACAGAAATAATGCCCTCCCTTCCCCCACCTTGAGAAAAGAGAGAATTCAGCAAATCCTTTTGGATGGTTATCTCTATCAAAAAGACTATTTTCTCTTCCTTCCGTACAAATACCAGAGCAGAAAGGTGACAGCAACCATAGTTCAGTAACGACACCGGGTGATTTTCCGGATCATTTTTAAGTAGGTCTTTTCAGGATAATTATTCTGCAATCATTTTATCCTTCTGACAAAAGATTTTGGCTCCCTGCTCTTCTAACACCCTCCCTCTCCTCCCTTTGTGGATTTTCCCCAATTCCTTATCTCTGTTATTCAAAAGTGCCCTGGCATCGTATTCCCCAAGCAGAGCACCCAGTCGCTCTCAGTACTGCTTGTTGCCTCTGTTGGCAGCGGCCATTCATTACCTACCTTTTGAACATCAGATGGTACCCTGGAGAGGAAATCTAGTAGCTCATTATTGTCGATGGCGTAGGGATTTCTAAGCTTCTTAGTAAATTTATTTATGCCTAGGGAAAAAAAAAAAAAGGCAAACAAAATAATACAACCCTTTTCTATTCCTTCCCTCCTAAATTGTTCAGGCAAGGTGAAAAAGGGAAGAGGAATTCACAAGTAAAAATTAGTGTGAAAACAGTGTCTTGGACTTAAAGCCACACACATGTTCCCTGTCATGGGGAATCATTCACAAGTGCCTCCTGGTAGAAGTAGAGGGCATTATTTATAAAGGTATTTCTCTACTTCGGGGCTCATCTCTTGTCAATAACCTGGCAAAAAGATTGCAGTTTGCATTCATCATGGGGGATATTGTGGGGAGAATACACAAATTTGCAGTCGAGACAAATTTGCAGTCGAGACTGCTGTTAAATCTGCTGTCCTACGTGACCAAAGACATTCCCTCTCCTCTTGCACAGGGAACTAGAGGGTTCTGAATTTAATTGGGCAGTATAAGGCTTTTTTCCTTCCATTTTTTCTGAAATTGAAAGCTTCCTTTTCCCATGTCTCATAGCTTATACTCTCTTTGCAGAACTAGATTTGACAAGTTGGCCATATAATGATGCTGTGGGAAATTGTAAAAACTTATCACAAGTTTTACTTCATTTTGAATAATAACAGTGTGAATAATTTGGCTTATTAACTGCAGCAACAATGTTCCAAATCTCCATAGACTTAGTTATGCTTCAGCTGTCAGAGGTGGTCCCTTGTCTGAACAGAAGATCCACAGGACAGTAATGTCTATATTATAATGGAGTTCATGGGGTCTTCTCTTCTCCTCCCTTTGAGGAAAGGGAGTGGTGAGCAGCCCTCAGCCAGCACCATCTTGATTGCATGGACCGGGATGAGAAAGCAAGAGACCTGAGCATCCTTCCCAACTCTCCTCTTGCGTCAACACAGCAACTTAACACCCTACTGCTACCACCTCCCCACTGAGAGATAGCAACTAGTAGCATGGCTACGTAAAGGTGTGGTAGAAGAGCAAAGGATCATTAGGTGAAGGAAAACAGCTAACCCATTTTAAAGAATGGCAAAAAAATTCAAATGTTGGTTGCTTCTGAGGATCATAACACAGAATTCAATTCCATCATGCCCCTGTCCAAAATCTCATACTCGTTTCCCTGAAAGTGATTTCAAATATGATGGCTGCTCCAGCCTTCTCCTCTCTCTCTGAAATGTACCTGCTTCATATCTGAGATTCATCTTTTAAGCTATATACTTGTAGCAAAATGCCAACACAATTTTCTGTGTACCTGATTTTCAAAAAACAGAAAATACCATAAGGTCTTTTGAGGCCTTGCCACAGGGTAGTTGTTTAACATGTATCATATTTGAAGGCCCTGTCAGTCTAGATGATGTTGAACGGATGTATAGTTTTCATGTACTCACCATGTCTTCCACATAAGAACAGCAATATTTTGTTACTGAACTTTTTACTCCTAGCAATTTCTCTCCTTCCCTTTTGCCCTTTCTTTTGTTTGATTTAATCCTTCATTTCATTTGTTTTTTTGCCCAAGAGTAGCTTTTTGTATTGCCACCTTCTAATTCCGTCCCTTTTCTGCATCCAAGAGAGTCAAGAAAACAGCAGATGGCTCAGCCCTGGAAGGGTGAGTGGGGGTCCTCACAGTCCAAAGCCACACCGGGGTGAGCTTCAGTGGTTTGGTATGTTCTCAGCCATTGTACCACAAGGTTGAGATAAAAGCTATCACCCTAAATATGATAGAAGGCCATTTTGAGATTAAGAAAGTCTCCAGCAGCTGGAATGCCATCTCCTTTTGTGAAAGATCATCCTACTCTTCTTCATAACAGCACCAGGAAAGTTTTCATTTTTAAAAGCCCCTCTTTTACTTCACGATGCACCTTCATACACTTTCTGACTTGTGACACAAAGAGAGGCTCAGTGCCTGCCATTGGACCACAGGGTACTGGGCACAGTACTCCTCTGGACTGCAGGGGAGTTAAGACTCAAAAGGCCCCCAGGGTCCAGGTCTCTGTGGTCCAGCTCTTCAAATACATCTTGTCAACTCCCTACTGTTTCCCAGCCTGTGGGCTCCAGAACCAGGAAGCTGATTACTATCCTGCAGAATAATTATAATATTGAAAGTAGCTTATCTAGACTAATACTCTTCTTGTGGTGCTGTTGGAAACTTATAAAGAACCCTAAGAAAAGCAGATCATTGGATCACCCAGGTGGAAAAGAAATGTTAATTTTAAGAAGTTCATGGCATATTTATTCACCTCTAAGCAATAGCACTTGATTGTCTGTGTAACAGGCCGTTTAAAGCTTGTTTGATTTCATTCTGTAGATATATATTATATTTATTGCATGCAAATGAGACACGATGGAGTACTTACCCCAGATTAAAACAATGTACCTCAGTGGTATAAAATACAAAATGACTGTTGCTGCTGCCAGGACCAAGCAGGCCAGGACAGAGAGGAAAGGCACCGTCCAGTTGAATGTGCTGTAAAGAAAAACAATAATCCTTCTCAACGTTTCTGCTCTTGGACACTGCTTGTACTCTGCTACCCAATAATAATTTAATGACCTCTTTGCAGTGCTCGGTGTTTTCAAATGCACTGTAAACTGCAGACCCTTTGGAAGGTGGATAAGGAGATTCCTGCATCTGGATGCTATAACAGATTAGGGAAAATATCTGAGAGGCAGATACAATAGAGAGAGAGAAGATAGTCTTTGTAAGGCTCAGTGGAGTTGTTCATATAGCAAGTTGGTTTTGTTTCTTCTTATGTGTCTCACTCGCTACATGTCTCTGCTCACCGGTCAGCTCTCCATTATTGATGAGTGGATTATCTGATCTGGAGATGACGCCATGCCGCAGGTGCGAGCCATCTGAGCTGGATCCACTGAGATGACATGGGATGTGTGTCATAGCACAACTCCAACGTGGCAGGTAGCCAGACTCAACCCCGCCAATGACTTGGAATGGTTTAATTATGACTGAAGCTAAACCTTAGAAGAGCAGTTAAAGTTATTTCTCAGTATACTATTAGGGAATAATATTCTATATAAACCTCTCAATATTTATATATCTCCTTCTATTTCCTTACGTTTTCAACAATTCCTTACTACACTGTAGATAGGAGGCTGTCTTGGGTAAGCTACAGTATGCTGCACCACCAACCTGGGGAGCACTCTCAAGAGGCTCGGTTACTACAGTCATTCAGACTTTTGCAGCATTGTAGCACAAAACAGGACTTTCTTCCATTCACACCACTCATCTGTAAGCCCATGATGGACTTAAGGTGAGCAGCTATCGCTAACACATCTTTGAAGTTATTTTGTTCCCATGTGCCCTTCTAAGATACAGCTCAACAGCATGCACCAAATATTGAGATATCTGAACTGCATGAATGCCAACTAGTCCATGGGTGGATTTACGGATCTGGGCATCTCTGTTTCATATTATTTGCCTGCTAACTTCATCACATCATGATGACGGGGAGTAGGAAGAAGAAAGAATGAACAAGGACCACTTATCAGGCTATAAAATAAGACGAATGTCCCTTGACAGATGAAATTAATAGGAGGCTAAAAAAATTACTTTTAAGCTTCAATAGATGTATTAAATATTAAGTCAAGATAGGTAGGAGAGGACCTATCATTATCAATCAAAGTAGCTTAAGTTAAAGCAAAAAAAATAGCAAAACAGCTCAATTCAGTTAAACTATTAAAACTTATGACTGTATTAACTAAAGTGACAGACAAACTGTAGCACAATTCAGTCTGTCACTTACAGAAAAACTTTGGTGGCAATTTTTTAATGGTACATTACTGTTGAGTTACAATGGAATTCTTCAGAAATTACATTGGGCTTCCAACGTTAATACCCAATGTGTTCTTTAAGATCATTGTTACCAAAATGAATACAAGAATTAATAGTGCTTAAGCACTCTGAGTCTTCCTGCCATGCAGCTGGGCAGAACAGTGCCCCGTTCATAGACTGGAATACATTTTTGGGACACTTCCACCCCAGCTGGGGTGTCCAGCGTGGAACCACAGCACATGCGTTTGCTGTATTTTTAGCTTGAACCCATCTCCTCATTAAAGTGTGGCTCGATCACAAACCATCACTGTGTTCAAAACAGAAAACAATGTGGGTCAACTAAGCTCCAATAAAGCTTGGGTTATAAAAGTTTGTGTGTGGGATTATGCTTTTCAGCTCTCTCCTCTGTAAGGTCAGGAATACCCTATGTGCCTCCCCTTGCAACAAGACTCAGAAAACCCTCTTTGGGCTTCCTCGTGGCACAAGCAGGAAGCAGACAGCTCAAAATGGTAAAGAAAGAAGAAGATCAATGCATTGGGCAGGGAAATAAGTGACTGGTAACCCCTGTAACCAGGCCAGGGTGGGGAGGGCGTGGGAAAGGTAACATCAACCATCAATTCCTACTTAGTTTCCCTGAAGGAAGTGAAAGAAATGCTCAATACTTCTGCGCCCATATCTTCAAGCAGTATTCTTTCTTGTGTGGTGTCATAGCTTCCTACCCCATCACAAACAAACAAGGCCAGAAATCTGGACAAATGTGAGAGCTACAGTAGTAGAACACATGACGACTTCTCATCTCTATGCTTTGGAAAGGTTTTTCCAGTAAAAGACTCCATGAGAAGAAGCAGTGGTGGGACTGGTCAGGTTCTCCTGCTGCACCTTGCAGTCATTTTTGGAGCAAGACATTCACTCCTCCTTAATATCCCTGGCTCTGCTTCATTGCAAATCATGGCTAAGCAAGAAACATTTATCACTTACTTTTTAATCCTCTCTCCAAATGATGCTATTTCTTCTAAGATGCTTTGAACAGCTATGATGATCTCTTGGACCATGTGGATTCTGTCAATTAATCCCTTTTTCTCAGATTCCTTTAAAACAAAAAAAAGGAAAATCAAAACTTTTTATACATTCAGTATTTGCTAATATGTTCACATGAAGAAAGTAAGATTCCCAGTACAGCTGACGCATCTATGAACTAAAGTATATCACTGAAAGGAGGAGAGAACACACACCCTGGGTTTATCACATACAATTAACATGAAGACATATATTTCCTTCCTCTTTCTCAGCATGTGGGCAGAAGTTTCTACATCTTCTAACACAAACTGACTGCAGGATCTCAAACCAGGCTTTCACTGAAGAACCCAGCTGCATGCCAAACCAGAAGAGATGCTCAGCACCCCTGAGTCCAGTTGACTTGTAGGAGTATTGGGTGCTCAGCGCTTCTCAAGAACAAGAATATTTTTGTGCAAAACTTCTGAATATAACTTTTCTGAGCCTTGTAAGGCTCCCAAAAGCCATGCTGTTTTCTGTATATAAGTTAGCAGCAAGATAGTGAATGCAACTTTTTTTTGAACATTCTGTATACAGAGATCTATTATTTTACTGTGGAAAAAAAAAAAGAATCAAAGGAAAAAGTGTCATTTTCCTTTTACAGCAGCCATCTCATAACTTCACTTCTTACAGCTTATTTTAGGCAACATTACAGGACATTACTACACATGTGCAGAAATAAAAAGGAAGCACAGAATGAATTAAAAATCAAAATTACTTAAATCAGCCTTGGAAATCAGTATACAATTATCAGCATTCAGCATTTCTTTGACAGCAATCTAACACACATACAGGGATGCAAATTGGTGGGGTTGCAGATATTCTAGCAAGAAATCAGCAAAACATTCACTTATTACAAAACGTAGAGCCCTGGACACTGATTTTACATTACATTTAGACTCTCCAAAATCAGCCCAATTTAGAAAAAAACAAAAAACAAAAACCAAAAAAAAAAAAAAAACAAAAAAAACAAACAAAAAAAAAACCCAAAAACCAAACCATTTTAAATTGTGTTTTAACCAGTCAGTACCCAGAGAGGGTAGATGCTGGTAAAACACAAGTTGCACCCACGTTCTTCGTGGTCCTCACCAGCTGGGGCAGGGGAAAGGGTGGGTTGGAGTAAGGAAGGGTCAGAGCCACTCAGATCAATTCTGCTTCTGTGTCGTGAACCCACATTATTTCTTCATGCAGAAAAGATAGTCAGAGGCTACTTGAAGTCTCACAAGGCCAGGGAGGTGAAGGCTCATTGCTACAGCCTTTTGGCACTGCTGTGCTGCGAGAGGGTTTGTGTGCATCAGACAGGGCACCACAAAACATTGTTGTGTACTGGAATAACATACGAACCATCCTTGGATGCTGAGAGGAAGACATGACAATATAGCCCTTACAACCCTTTGAATTACTTACTGCCCATTTCTCTTCTTAGTAATTTCTGAGTTTAAAAAGCCAGTCAAAACCACCACAGAGCTATCAAGCTCCAGACATTTGAATATTTGCCTTTAGGTTGCAAGTGAGTGCACAATGAATAGAAGCAGCATTTTAAATAATCACACATTTGGGTGTGAAAATGAGTATTTTTACATTAATAAAACAACCAACAAATATGAAACCCTTGGGGTGTGAAATAACCCCAGAACAAAATAAATAAATAAATAGTCAGTTTATGTGAAAATAGCACCAAAAAGTCATTTTCACACAACTCCAGTTATAACCTTGTTAGGTTCAAATGTAAATGACACATTAAGATTATCTTTAACTATTCACTCACTAGAATGGTACAATGGTCCTTCAGCCATAGTTGATTTTTTTGTACCAAACTTGGACGTAGAAGTTGGGGAGCAGTTCATGGAGAACTAGTCAGTGGGAATTTCATTCTGTCCAAATTCAGAGGGGTAAAGAAACCACTTTAGATAAAGTGATATTCCAGGGCAAGCCTACTCTTGCTACCCAGAGCTGCAAGGAAGATCATCTGTCAGCTCTATCTGCATCATGCTGACTTCATTTACACATCTTAGATTGAGCTTAGAAATGTGGCGATAATGCAGTTTAACCAATACAACATAACTTCTGCTGCAGCCACCAAGCAGACTAGGAAAATAAACCAGAAACTACCAGTTCCTAGGATATAATGACAATTGCATGCATATTCTTACCTAGCATGCATGCTAAAATCACTCCTAGACAATGGTGTTTTCAATTTGTAATACACAACATGCCCAACCAAGGAAAAGGCAGAGACAAACTGAGATTAGAAAGTCTTTTAAATGAAATTAGTTATTAGAGAGTAAAATAGGCTAGCAACTGCCCTTGCACTGCAATATGTGTGCAGAACCATCTGAAAATCCTGGAAATTTGTCAACATCTTTTCTTTGCTATTATGGTTTCATTCTGGAAACCTGCAGTCTAAACACTTCTACAGGATGATTAGGTCACTGGTTAAGCAAGAGAGAAGTAGACAAATGAAGTACGACAAACGAGATTTTCCAAATTATTTCGCTTTTGGAGTGGTGTTTATGCTTTCTGAAGTCAGCACCTCACAAAACACTGTCAGAAGCAGTAACAGAGTTCCTGGTCCATCAAGGCAACAAGCAATGGTCCATATTTATTAGCAAATGGCAACTGTCACATAGAAAGCTCTATTTGTGGCAGATGTAAAAAAAGGATCTTAAGTAAATCTTCCACTACACACATTTTCCCATCTGGGCAAGGTCCCAACCACCCAGATAATTTTTCTCCATCCTCCTCAGGTATCATTCCTTTCTGATTTCTTTTGGACTTAACATATTATGCTGCTTGAAAACAGGATTTGGATGCCCATTGTTCAAAAATCACAACTCAAGCTTTTGCTTCAATTAAAAATAAAACATCTTGCCTGTTTCTGGCATTTTTTTCCCTAAAACTGGTCATGAAACTTCTATTCCTTCAAGGTCTTTTTCTTCTTTATTTCTTAGCTGATTACAGCACTGTGGGTGGACCAAAACTAGTCTTCAGCCTCTGGGAAAGAATTAACTCCATCAAAATAAGTTTACAACTGAGAATTAATTATATAATCAGTGTGTTACTTCAAATCTTCCTTGCATATCCTGATTTAAGAAACCTTCATTTCCACATTAATTGCCTGAGCAAAAACACAAAAGGGGTCTTACAAAAGATTAAGCATGTCAGGGGAAGAAAGGAAAAAAACCAAAACAAAACACCAAACACCCAGCAAATTTGGAAATTAAGTCTTTTGTGTCCAGCTAATATACATCAACTGAAACTTGTAAATGAAGACACCAAATTTCTGCTGTACTGAAAGAAAGGTGCTTCTAGATTTTTCTGTTTCTGAAATATGTAACAGTTAATAAACAGGACATGTAAACGCACTCAAAGGGTTACGACAGCTCCATGATCTTCCTTCCCTTCCATGTTATTCTGCTCCCAGAGATTCAGGGACAGTTGCAAAAGAAACTGTCACACGACTGCAAAATTTAGGTATTTCCAATGATGAAGACTTTGAAAGTGTGTGCAATATGGGGCCGACCAGGAGAGGACATCTCCAGCATTAACCTGGCAATTCACAATGGGCGAGGTACAATGGTCAGAGCTGGGTTTGCAAGAAGAAAACATAAAACCTAGGGAGGAAGAGACTGAAGGCACAAATTATCAATCATCTGCTCTGTAACAAAGACCAAATAACTCTATTTACTCCTTCTGCTCTAGCAAAGCATCCGTTATTGAACTGAAAAGTTGGATGGTGGGGATGTCCTAACTTCTTGTGATCATTTGTTTCAATAATTAATAGCTTTCATCTCTACAAAAAGCTGTTTTGTATTTTTTAAATCTATCCTTCAGATATTTTTGCTCTGGATACATCCAAAACTGTAAGCAACACTCCAAATGCATAGACAATTTTTAATGTTGTCTCTAGGTATATTTCTGATATATACTACAAACACCGTATGCACACAACTAGAAACTTAGGCTTGAAGGCACAAGCAAGTTCTAAATACTTGCTTACTTGGATTCCATATAAAACACTCACACAAAAAGAAATCTTGCATGCAACTTTCAAACAAGTGGTATTCATCAGCAGATTTTTGGCATGCCAAGGGAAACTCAATATATAAAGCTGAGGAACACTTAGGGGCAAGGATGAGGAAAAGGGGAGGAGAAAAAATAAATAGGGATTAATGGAAAAGAAGGAAGAAAACAGGATACAGGCAACTAAATCAGGAATGAAAATCTCGAATCTCTTCAGGAATTCCAAGAGTTAGTCTGCCTAGCCCAGGGTTGGTCTGACTTTCAAGATTAGCTTTTTTACAGTAGCTATCTCATCATGCCACTGCTGCTAAAAGCACATTAGGGCAATATCTTACCAGGATTTATCCCAGGTACCAGATATAAATTCCCCAATGTATTAGCAACAAACACAATTGATGAAAAGGGGGAAAATAAGGAAAAAAACTAAGGCATGCATGCCTTTTTACTCCACTGGAGCAAAATTATTATTAATCTGGATTGGTTGGGTTTTGTTTTTTTTTTTAAATCATGCTGTAGTTATTTGGAGAAAAGCAGACTTAGTCCAAATTGGTTTTAACTTGCAACTTGCTCTATGCTAGACTACAAAATTCCAACCTTACTGGTGCCCAGCAAAACCTGTGCCAAACAACATCGTAAAGCCAAAATACTCGTAGATTAAGAACTTCTGAAACCAAAAAATATTTTATTGGATATAAACAGCAGACCACTGGCCTCTATTGTCTGTAGGGAACATTTCACTAACAGCTTCAGTCTAGCAGCAGAATGAAGCTCTTGTGGGAGGTGGTAGCCATGGAGTGACAGACAGTCTCTTAGTAGCTAAAATGAATTCCAGGCAGAGCTTTGAAAATAGTCACCACAGCAACCTTGAACTGGGTCCTGCCTTTGGTGGGAGCCAAAGGCAGCTGCAAGGAACCCAGCAATCTGCCTTGTTGAGTCAATGTCTTGCCCTGTGCTGCCATGTCTGCTGTGTGTCAAGGAGGGCTTCTCGGTACTTCCAGGAGGATAGGTAACC